GCCAGACGAGTTATCCCTCCGGTGGAAATTCTCACCTGTCCTTGTATCATTTACAATCTTCCAATGTACGAGACTCGCCGTTTCTAACGTATATAACTTGTATCGTTTGACTTTTCCTTGCTTGGATGAGAAGGATGACGCGCCTACCAAATCTTTTCAGCCCGGTGTTGGTCAGTAGTTATCTCGTTATCCCGTGTGTGCTGCCCTCAGAGCCTTCGGCCGGTACACTCGCTCAAGAGTTCTAACGCCTTCTGCGGTGGAACTCGGACGCCTGCTCCGACAGCGCCAGAAGTGTGCCTCTTGTCCGGCTGCCAACAGGTGAATGACCAGTTTCAGTCATGGACTGGAAGAGTGCACACGCGGCTTGTGATTTGCCTTCTCTAATCAGTCCTGTCTGCTCATCTTTATTACATTTTCGTTTCCAGATCTCCTGTGATGTTAATTTTAGCAAACGTTTTCTATCCCTTATGCTTGCCAGCCCCTGTACAGATGTACATCCAGCTGCTCCCAGAGAACGGCGTAAGTATGGGTGTACGTTTACAAGCATACCTATGTTGGTAACCTAGCATAAATTAGCGAAATAAATATATGCATGTCTAGGTCAACATCACCACGGAAGTGGAATTTGCGCTAATGTCATACTGTCACACTGAATTCGTATCGTACAAGCGCAACTGGCTCGAAGGCTTATCAAACTTCCCCAGGTGATTTGAGCGTATGCTCAGGAAATTAATAGGGGATATTTGGACTGCTTTAGAATTGCGAAAATTTCCATAGCAGTAATCAGAAGACGAGATGGCGAGCATACGTAGCTTTCGATAAGTTCTCGTCCGACCAGTACAATTATATGGGAACGGGGTAGAAGTAAAACATGTCACCGACAAGAGAAATCGGTTAAAGTTCGTCTTAAAGCACAGGCGGGGTGTCGCAATGTGGGGGAGGGGGGAGGGGTTATAGCAGTCACTATCAGGGGCGGAGTGAGAGCGGAAGGGCGTAGGGAGAGTTGCACCGTTAGTCGACCTCCGGCCACTGTAGGCGCGGAGCCTGAACGTGGTTCTTCTGTGCGCACAAGATTGGTTTTCGCAACCCGATGGCGGCCGCCTCTGCTGTTGTTAACAGGCGCTGGCCCAGTAGTTTAGGGTAGCTCGATGTCACCTTATAGATCACACGAAAAGCTTCACTGTAGTCTGCATGATGTCCGGAATCGACAACATGCGCGAGAATGGCGCTGCTTATGCTCTTAGTTTCGCTTTTTCCCGGCCATACCGGGAGGTGTTGCCGTATTCTCTTCAATAAGCGCCGACTCGTGCGACCAATATAACCAGCTCCACAAGAAAAAGTTCCGCATAGCATTCGATGCTCTCCCTATTGGCATCTAACGTCTCCTGGCTTGAAGGACGTAATGGCTAGAGTCTGCCCACTGGCTTAGCTACTGCAACAAACGAAAGCACATCCGCGTGTCGTCTGTACGAGCACGTAACGTAGCCCTTGAATTTTTATTCTTAAAGTGATGCTAAAAGGTGAATCCAGAGGCCGTATAGTCGGCTAAATGACACAGGAACAGGTGCTACTTAAGTTCACGTCAATATACGCTTCCGTTAGATACAAAGAGAGGCAGAAACTTTGCACTAACAGTGCACACATGCATCCTGGTTGAAAGACTGGTAGGCATCGTATTGTGAGCGTCTACCAGGTGCCACGAAAACTGGACATGCGAATTTCAGGCGCCATGAATAAAACACTTTCAGAGCTAGCTATTCAGGGGGAGAGGGAGGCGCACTATCTATCTGTCTGACTCACGATCAGCATACTTCATTTTAATCAGCACGAGAATGGCTTTCATTGGGCTCTTGTTGATTGTTGGACGGTGTACACAAATTTAGGTTTAATGTTATTACCGACAAAGACTAGGGAGACTGGAATGGCCATTTCTGGCTTAGTAGCCGTCGTCAGCCAGTCATACCCAACCCCGAAGTGTGGAAAACCCGAGGCTCCAGCTCGCGACCCGTTAGTTAGAAGTCCACGACTCTAACCACTGGGGTTGGGTATGACTGGCTGACGACGGCTAATGAGGCAGAAATGGGCATTCCAGTCTCCCTAGTCTTTGTCGGTAATACCATTCTGCCTATATCATGCGCTGCTGTGCGACTGCTGGCTGGGCTCGAGAGAGAGCCCATAAGGCACAACGGAACGTGTGATTTCTGTAAGAACGATCGGTGAGCACCCCATACCACATTTAGGTTTGCCCACGAGCGTCCCCGTTCATGCCGACGACGTGGCTCTGCGGTCAGTAGCCAAAGACTTCAGGCACGAGTTTCGAATGTTTTCTGGTTCGGAATGAGTGCGGTTCGCTTAATACAGACAATAAGGAGTGATCACGCCATTATTTGCCTGCCCGACGCTTGCACTTGAGCAACCCTGTGAAAAAGGTTTTGCGTTCAAGAAGCGCTGACCTTGTTGGACCAGGTAATTCTGACCTCCGACTATATGTTATGACGGGTAATCCAGTAAAACTACCTTCTGTTTAAACGAAGCCAGAAGTTGAAAAGAAATGTATATCAGTAAACTTGTCGGTGACCATTGATAAAGGACGGACTCCACTAAACAGTCTGAGCAGTCGATAATGAACAGCCAGAGCACGGTCCCCCCAATTTATGAGACGCAGATACAACAGATACTAACTAACAGCACACGTTGTCCAGTGCGATCGATGCGGGCGCAAAAAAGCAAATGTACGGAGACCATATTGTCGTACACGCACGTGGTAGGCGATAAGCGAAGACTCCAAGTCCTGTCAGTCAGGGCGACCAATCTATTTACCAGTCAGTCAAGAGGCTTCTAGTCAACAGGTACCCCTCCCTATGTCAAGCGGGTGCACTCCTCATTAAACTAAATCTGACGTGCCTGACTCCACCAAGGCCTGTCAAAAGGTCCTGGCCTGGAAGGTCGACAGATGAGGGAAAAACTCGGTCTTCCCTTGAAACGGGCATAAGACCGCAGTGGTTCCTTCCTAATGACAGGTCAACCGTCGATTCAGACGACGTCCACTGGGTACACCACATCAGAGTGAGAGCGGGTACGGCAAATTGCCCGTAGATTGGTTTAAAGGGATAGCAGACTTGCGCAGCATCTGCCCCACTATCTCCTCCCCCTGGGCTCGGTGTCATGACCAAGCCAAGAAAGCCGGAGGTGGGAGAGGCCGCAGATTGCTGGGTTAGCGAAAACTCGTCCCCAGGCGTACCACCACACCCCAAATGTTGGTATTCGTTATGAGTGCGCATTCCCAATAATGCCTGCCCGAATTCGATGCAGCCCCCCGTTGGTCTAGCGCATCTACCGCGTGGCCTGTTTCAGGGGGAAATTGGGCCTTTATGACACCCCCAATCACGTGACATCTGCAATATTACCCCTTTGAATACAACTTGATAAGTGAAGTGTCGTGGATCTGGCCGTTCATTGCACACGTAGACAGGCTGTTTAACATTGTCAGCCCCTGTTTTCATGTCCGACTGAGGTCATATGCACCTCGTCGAGCCATTGACACATTGTAGAAAACGTGGGAAGAGTGAAGTAAGGCAGGTGAAGCAAAAGGCCCTTTTGTTACAAGCAAATCCAGGCGAACGTCAGGACCGCGTCAACATTGCGGAACAGTGATGGGCCTCATCGTGGGTGACGATCGAACGGTGGAACATTGTCCATTCACCGTTGCTTAGCCGTTTCCTGTGCCTAGCCAAATAATGTACGTCACGTGAAGTTACATTTCGCGAAATGAATTGACCGTACTGCCGGCCGAGTTCAAACAGTTCATATTTCAGGTTATCAATTGTCTGCCCCAGAGTCCCTCTGCACGACTCATCAAAAATGTGCCCAAAGCAGGCCCTTGTTCCAAAGGATCCTTAGAATCTTAACAGTCCCTCACAGTTGATGGATAGGGCCAGTAAAGTATTGCAAGCTAACGAAATCAAAGGAGTTGGGAAAATTATGGGCTCTTGATTAGTTATCGATCTTATCAGTCCAAATTAGCAACATGACCATCGAATCTACTTATATTCCTCAAACAGCAGAGAAAAAGTGCTGCTTGCAGCCGAGGTCCCTAGAATAGATTCGAAGAGTTCTACTAATTTCTGCTTCGGAGTCCGTTGGCGTTTTTTCTCCTCGGTTTTGCAAAATTGGACGATAGACGCGTTGGCAGACCACTCCAGTTTGACGGTTGACTACATGCGATGCTCTACCTATGTTTACTACACCAAGGACGCTAAGGTGCAGAGACGTTTATTTACAGAAGCTTCGCAAATGTAGGTGCAGAGGACAGGATGGGCCTAGATAGGTTGTCATTAAGAACATGAGTGTCTCAGGTTTCACAGTCTGTATATTTGAGCGGGCACTGACGATGATGAAACTCTATATCTAATCGCTTGTTTCCGCTAACTTTGATCGAGCGTCTTTGTGAAACGGTCAAGAAGAAAACTGAACACCCGACCAACCCAGAACAGGCGTAGCCTTATACTCGCGTCACGGAGACTTCTGGAGGTCAGTAGGATGTTTGTCAAAACGGCGAGCTCAAAAGGCTCTCTTCGAGACAATCCTGCACAGTAATATGACATAGGCAATGGGTGCAGAGGTTATCTGTTGATCAAAGGCCTTCGACACATAATCCGAACTCGTTCTTGACAGCGTCTCCAACACCGGACAGTAAATTCGGCAAGAAGCACAACCGATCAACTGCATCCCTCACTCGTTGATTAAGATGGATCGAGTATGCACTGTACAGCCCTGAAAACGAAATCGTCCGGACCATATTTCGACCTAACCTGGCTGCAACTGGTATCAGTGTTGAGGCAGACAACTGCGGGCGTAGGTGGGCGTTAAGAAAGTGGACGAATACGTCTCGCCAATCCCAGCTTAAAAGGAGGAACAGTCGGATTGGAGATATACCTCAGCGGTTCGCCCGTCAGATCCGCTACGGTAGATTGGGCTGCTGCGGACAACCCTGATTTCCCTTATTCTGAAGAAAAATAAGGTATGGCTGGGGAGGGTTATGGGGAAGTGTGAGGAAAAAAAACAGGAATACAGTCGTTAGCTTAAATCCAGTATGGCCTGTCACGCTCAGACTTTTGCAACATTGTGAAAAAAATATATATGACCAAAGTCTTCAGGAAAGTCACGTTCTCTAACAAATGGGACGAGGTTCAATGTGTCAATACTGGCTATCTCCCCTAAGCACTGACGTATCAAGCGAGAGAGCCATCGTGTGGGAATGGGGTTCGTCAATTTGGTCCGGTCGTTCGAACTTTGGCCTACTTTGCATACACAGTCACGGTTACGAGCAACCTATACCCGAGAACTATCACCAACAAGACAAGAGAAACTGTGCAGGCCGCTAACGGCTCACCTGCCGTCATCAGAAAGTCATATCCCAACCCCAAGCCGAGTCTAATTGGTCATTCAGTCCTGGCAACGCATTATCGCCTCCGATCAGAAATAGTAAGTGGTGTAATTGCTTTTTACCAGCCCGAGCAGTGCACCGGAGACGCTATCTGCCTTGGAACTCCGGTCAACTCTACTGGTTCAAAGCTCAGATCTTACCAGAGCAGGGACGGTGTATAGCTGATAAAAAGAAATAAACAGTGAGAACTGGAAAGCTAGCCTGCTTGCTTGCTTTTTCCATCGCACAGAGCCTTGCCTGTTGGCGGACAATCAATCTACGCCCGTCCCTTTTACTGCTTGGACGGTTGTCTGGCCCGTACACTTCACCCAGTCAAATAAATACCCTACCCAACGCCACGTCAGTTCGGCTCGGATCTCAACAAGATACACGAAACCACCCTGTAACACACAGTGACTGACCCAAGTCACAACGTCGAAATGGCATTCGTTGGTAGTTTGAGAAAAACGTAATGAGCAGAACGACTGCTCATACGCCGTCTTCGCAGATCCGACCAGCGCATTCAATGCAATCAACAGGGGGGTTCCGGGAAATATATTTATATCAGCAGTCCCTGAAGATTCGACAACCTAGTACATCTTTCTGGGTATACGACCGACTTCATCTTCTCAGGGACAACGGCCTTAGAGCATTCTGGTACTTTAAAAGGACACCAAGTACGATTCTGCCCCAGCCCATCTGATCACCGACTCTCCACATGCGGTAAATCACCATAAGAAAGGTGGGACATGAAGCGTGAGTGAAGTGAGGACCCGGTCCCTCGGAATTCCTCTGAACCGTCCAATGCTTAAGCACAGTCGAGAAAATCGTCCGGATGCACTCCGTGACGACTGTGCCCCGATGGCCAGCGCAGTCTGCTCTCCACTGACAGGTTTGCGAATGTAACGACTTCTCCAACGTCCGGGCCACATTATCTGTCCTATAGTTAGTGCTTTTCGTATACCAACCCCAGACCTATTGTTCGTTCCGACCGCACAGGCCAGCACCACATGTAAATTACGGATGAGACCGAAAAAAGTAGGTGGCTTCAGCTCCACTTATGATTCCTTAAACGAGGAAACCCATAACGGTGAAGGTCAGTCGGCCCTTCGGCTGTAAGTGTCCTAAACAGCTGTCTTTATCAGAAATCATGCGGCGTCCCAAAAACCATAAAAGCTGGCGGAACAATGTGGGCGCTTTTGCCGGACCAGCTGAATACCTGACCCCTCTGCAAGGTAGCCTCTGGTCGTGCCGAATTCTTGGGGCCAGGTTTCCAAGCTAATTCTGCTAAAAAGGCGGACCCCGCTCTGAGTTCAAGTCCTTGACACACGCAGCACCTGTGAATGCAGACAGAGCATGACCTTCACCGTTTATTTGCAGACCGAAAGACCTGAAGTTCAGTGTTCGTCGCTCAGAAGATTAACGGATATTTTGTGCGCAACGGCGTGGGGTGGAGAGCTGTCAGTTCTACAGCGTCTCATTTATAACATCCCTCAGGTTGTTTGATTACCATAACAAGCAAATTGCTCAGGGACGGTCATAACCTATTCACCTCGAGCAGTCAGTCATTCTTCACGAGGGTCATACTCACTGGGAAAGACAGTGTTAAGTCATCGAATGGATATCATTCTTCAAACCGACAAAGTGTCGTAAACGAAACAAACGACCATTATAATTTGCATTTGTGTATTTAAAACAAAATAGCTGTACACCTTGATGCGGAATAAGGACTTAGTGTCAGTAAATAGGAAATAACTGTACAATTGTAGAAAATTACTAGCAGATCTCCAGGGGTTCTGTTAGGGAACTACCTCGCCTTTTTGACTTCTTAGATTTTCTTGGAGCTGAATCAGAACCCTCTCGCTTCTTTTTATGTTTTCGCTTCTTGTGTCTCACTTTCGTTTCGATGAAATCTCCATCATTAAGTCCAGGAAATTCACCGTCTGCTTCATCAAGGGCAGGACCCTCTGCCTCCCGCAGAGCGCGAGCAGCTTTTTTAGCACTATGAAGGGTCAGCAATAAGCAATAAGAACTACCGCTTCCGCTCATGTTTCAATTTTCGCTTCTGTTCCTTCTTCAAACGCTTTAAGGCTCGCTCATCGAGCTCCTCGAAGTCTACTTCCCTAGGCGGACTAGACTTTCGAGTTTCAAATTCGTGACTTACCTCGAGTTATAAATAAGATCCCGTGGAGTGGCTCTCCTATCGCCTGATGGAAATTCCTTATTACCCGCCAAATGTCCTACATCACTTGGGGACTGTAGGCGATAAGAGGACTGGGGAGTAGGCCCTAGGCAGGAATATTACGAACAATGAAACAAAGTACCTCTTGATGACGCCGTATCTGACGGCGCGTATTCGGGGACGACCGACGCATGCGGCGAACTGTAAGGATAAGTACAATTAGGACAAGTCAAAAGCTGGCGAATTCAGATGTATCTTTACGCAACACAGCAGAAATCTGGGGTATAAAGTATAAAACACTTAGCAAAACTTGACTTAAGGCACTGGAGTGCCTCAATCTTGTCCAACACCAAGCACACGATGAAGCATTTGAAACGGCTCACAAAGCGGTGTAGGGCAACCTATTACTTGCAGTAAAATGCGAGTTTCCGCTGTGAATTTGTAGCAAGAGACTTCTTAAGTCTTGTCACTAGTCGAAAATGTCAGACTAAGCTTATTTTTATTTATAGCGAAATTTAAATCTTACTAAATGAAGGGCTACACGTAGAAGGAACCGGCTTTCGAAATTGCAGATGCAGTTGGATCCTACCTAGTATCCGCGTTTGTTTAGACTAAATCAAGCAAGCGTGTTGCGAAAGTTCGCCTAGGCATGCAATATCCTACGCACCTGCCAGAACTAAGGGTAAAAAGAGGGACTCTTGAACAAACGCCTAACTTTCACGACAACTGCAACAAAACAGACGTACTGAAAACTCACCGCTCTCGTGGTGACTGACTGCCCCTTTCCGGGTTGATAAAAAGATCGTGTTGCCTTGAACTGGGTGAATATGACAATTCCGGGTCGATGGTTTGCTGCGTCCTGGAGGGGGAAGTACGGCGGCGGGATACTCGAGAAGGGCGGTCAGGGACGGGCACTGAAGACTCATTGGCACAACTGTTAGGACGGAAGCGACCGCGCACTTCTCGGTCTTCAGCGGGAGATGCTTCTGAGGCATACGGCTTACGGGAAAATCTGCTGTGTGATGAATCTCGCTCAACTAGCTTTTTGCGATCTTTTCTACGACGCCACGCATCATAATCCTCGATCGGTTGCGGGGAATGGCTTCGTGACCGTACCCGGCCATAACGACGACCCCGAGAACTGTGTCGGCCTGTGTTTTCACGGGACGAATCACGGTAGTGCCGCTCACGTAGGCGGCCGTTTGAGCGCTCATCGCGTCTGTGATTGCGATCGCCCGACCGTCTGCGGACGCCGCGTGAAGTTGAGTCACGGCTACGAGAACGTGCAGACCTAGATGTGGTTCATTTATAAGAAAAAAGTCAAACGAATGCGACTTCAGGCGTTCTCATCACTTTCTCGATGAACAGGGCCAACGACACGTTCCGAGGACTTAAGACCAAAGCTTGCAGGCGACTGTCCATCCCCCTCGGTCTCAGTTATCTTAACCAGGCGACAAAAATGGTAGGAGCACAGAGCGGAAGAGGCCACACGTCACGTCACGACGTTAGAAACATTTAACCGAAGTAAAGCAAACTACCAATGTCGCTTGTAGCGGACTCCCGGTGAACAGGATAACCCTTGCCTTCGATTAATCAATGTCAAAAACGAGCTCAGCCCCAATTGTTTTAACTCCTAACTTAAGTACAACAGACAGTTTGCAGACAGTAAAACAAGCAAGGGTGGAAAGTTACGCCACTATCAATGCGCATCCTTCGAGGACTTCTGTTTTTCTTTAACCCAGGTAACTGACGTTAGACAAGTCTTCAATAAGATCTACAGGAAATCCTCTAATCCAACTAGGCTCTTGTGTGACAGCAGAGAACGTTCATGACCTCTTGGGAACCCCACAGAAGCACAGTCGACTGCAGGTACGTTTCTGCCAATCAAGTATCGGAAGACATCTGGTATGACTGCTTCCTTACCAATCCACTGTGTAATACGGACAAATCTGAGATGTGGGTGCCGAGTCTTGCTAATGCTAACCTAGTAGTAAATAAGGAAAACACCTCAAAAGAGACGACCCGGAAGCAAGTATGACAAGCCCAATCTTACATGCGGGTTCAAACATTCCGAGAAGCAGATCCTACAGAGATCATCGAAGATCTTAGACCACCGTTTTTGTGATTATTAAACAGTTACAAAAGAACTAGTAACTGGTGAGAAGTCGCCTATAGAGGACGTGTTAACAGTCAAGCACAGAGGAGCCTTTATTAAAAGGTCCTACTGAAGAATAGTACACAAATGATGAGCTAAAACGATTAAGACAATTTGATCAGGACTGACACAAAATAAACTGGGGAAAATAGAAACGCACATCTTGTTTAGTGGATAGGACGGCTAACTAGAAATTTAGGCAGGCTTGTTAATTTGATACTCGTTTGGTCTGATGGTCACATCACGCATCCTTGCCAGTGACCGTCAACCTTCCAATCTGTAAATGCTAAACCGTGAGAACTACTGGTGGAAAGGCCGAACATACGCCAGCATCCTTCTCTGATGACAAACGTAGCGGCCCTGGGCGCAATACGTCCTAGACTCATCCTAGACAAACACTAACGCTCCTAAAATTCTAAGCCAACAACATGAAACCTGAAAACAGCTCTGGCGCACCACGAGTCAATCGGGGATGAGCGGCAAAAAGTAGCAAGCAAGGAAACGCACGAGCGGTAATACAAAAGCGCTCAATGTTACCTTATTTTTCGAGATTGCTGCATCAGTTGCATTTTCCATTGGTAAAATTCTTCCTTGGATAGCAACTTGTCTTTGGGAAACGCGCCACCTTGGATGACACCATCCCCCGCTCTGCTCTGAATGCCAAAGAGAGGAGCGACCAGATCCGGTGTGGAAGAGAATACACCAGTTTGGTTTAGCAAAGCGTTTTGGTCAACATTATTTAGGTACGGAATATCCCCCTGAGGCCATAGGATACCCGAGGGCATGAGCGAAACGTTTGGATAGACACCAGCGATCTGAGCCAGTGAATTGCTGGCAGCCGCTGACGTCATGCCAACAAGGCTAGTCCCATACATGGCATTTACCAGAGCCGTGTTCTCATTCCCAATAATACTTGGGAGAACAGGCGCCGTGACCCTACTGAAAGAGAGACTGGAAGAGGAAATCGGAGCGGTCGACACCACTGAGGTGCCCTGTGCTCCAATCACTGTGGCACAAGGCGCGTCGGCAACACCAGTGGTTGTATTAGAAACAATAGGAAGATTTTTTTTGTTAGGTGAATAATTTTTAACATTGTTAACCAAAGACGGATCGGATTTTGGGGGGAAGGGCAAAGTTCCGACGCGCATATGATCAAGGGTAGGAGGTTCGGGTAGCTGAGCAGAATTTTCGGGCTTGACGGGTGGCTGCCCCTGGACTGTGGAAACTGAGGTTGTGTTGCTTTCGAGGGGATTCTGTTGGTCAGCTCCGTGTGAACTCGGTTTAGACGTGTCCAGCAAAACCGGTTGTTTGGGTTTAAGAACACGACGGACAACCTTAGAGAGGAGCATAGTAAAATCGAGATTATTACCTTTTCGGGCTCAGGAGTACTCGGTTTCAGTTGTTTTTCAGGAGAACTTCCAAAGTTGGTTACCTCATTCTGTCCATACATGCGTAGCCACCCACGCACTAAGTTTCGGACAGTTGTGTTCTCGAACACTGTTGTCTCGTGTTCGTTCAGTGAGGATTTGCAAACCGGACACTGGTGGGAGCCAAGGATGTCGGAATCGAAGACGTGACCCATGATGCAGTCGTTACAGAATGTGGTGCCACAACAGGAAACCAAAACGGCATCCTGGAATAACTTGTGACATAGCGGGCAGGTAAACTCTTCAGGGGGCATCCGCTCCTCGGGTGGAACGTAGGGCGGGTTTTCCTCTGCAGTAAACGCTCGCTTTTCCTTCTTTTTTAGGGCATAAGCTTCGCTGGGAAGTGTTAAACAAATAAGCAGACTTACGCATCCTTTATGGGAACCATATAGCGTCCGGTTTTACCTAAGTAGGCACCCGGAGTATCTGGTTCAACCTCAAGTAGGAAATCTTGTGGAATCCCAGTTGGTCTCTTGATCGACTTCGAGTCCATCAACCTCCCAGTCTGATCACGTATCCCCGGGCAATTATGAATCCAATGCCCTGAGAGATTACACTTGTGGCATATATACCCTGCCGGAGGAGTCCCGTAAGGTTTGGCTTTCACAGTGAAACTACAAGACGTAAATTTTCTCAAAAAAGTATACTTTTTATCAGAGTAGATTTCGGACGATCGCTCCATCATTATTCGGATCTTTTCTTCCTCCGGCAAGTCGGATTCGGCGAGGTTAATCTATAAAGGGTTAACGGGAAGATGCAGACTTACGTTGGAACTTGACGATTCGGGCTGAGCAGCCTGTAAGAGATAAATATGGCTAATATGTGGCAGTGTGAAAAGTCTGTCTGACAGACAGTGCGAAACAGCGTGGCCAAAAGGGTGTGGTGTACAAGTAAAACTAGCACTGATAAAACATGCGGTCTTTAAGAACTAGGAAGAAATGATAAACGCAAGGCGTCGGTAGGATTATGAGGACGAATGCCACTACTGCGCTACACAAATTAATCGTAGGGAGGAAAGAGATAAACATCCCGACGACGTTTATCAAAAAGCTTCGACGGAGCATGGGCAAGACAAAACCTACGCTTTTTAAGGACTCCTTCCGCATGCCCATTTCCGAAGTATTTGGCTTCCGTTTTTGTGCTTCAGTATTCAGTCTTGGGACCCGCCTGACCACTATGCTGGTGTACTTTGGTATTAATTCATTATCCTTTGTGTACTCTGGGGGGAATAATGAGAGGGACTCAACCTACCTTTGCCGGAACTGTCCTCGAGCTTGAGATCCAGATCGGCCGAATAAAGGCAGCATTTAGTCCTAATTGCGTTTTTCAAGTCTTTAACAGAGATAGATGAGCCATCAAAGCTAATTGAGTCGGTCTTGACATTGGCTTTGAACTTGAAATAGACCAGGGACGCCATCACAGCACCCAGGGCGATTACGAAATAGAAACCGTCCACGCACTAAAACAAACCTCCTCATTTATTAAGTTGGACTTAGAGGCTGTTATACCTATTCTCAGTTAAGCGCTCACATAAGCGGCAACATTGCCTGCATTACATTTTCACTGGCCTGATTTGCAACTACTCTGACAGTAATATTTGAGGGCTGGCAAGAATTGGCATAAACGGCATTCGAAGCGTAAAAGTCATCTATGGAAAAGAAAGGCAAAAAAAATCGAAAAACAGGCACAAATTCGGTTAAATTCGGTTCGGTTTATTCGGGAATATTTAGGTTCATACCCATGAATCCCCTATTTGCTATAAGCAATGAGGATATATCAACAAATCCGATAGGAGGACATCGAAGAAGTAAAAAAGAAATAACTAAGACCATACAGACAGAAGAATGACTACAAATGTTAGCAACGCTGGCAGGGAGTGATAGCTGATAGCGATAGAGAATAACAAGCGACGAGGCAAGAATGAGCTTCTGTTCGGTAAAGTGCTTATGACTCATCCGCTGGAAACCGTCTGTGGACCATCTGCGCCGTGTACGAACGCACGTTTGTGTTTCTGATACCAGCCGGTGGTCAGAGTTTTTAGTGGACGGATGAAGGCTAAATAAGCCCGAAACAGAATTGTATCAATCTACCCGCATCCTCTGTCGTCTCTCCTCGTTGGTATTGATGCTTCGAAGAAAAATGAGTCTTTTACAAGCTGGTTGTGTAACTTAGTCGTCGGTCTCTGCGCCGCTCGTATTTGGTGCTTCGTCAGGTGTCTTTCAACGAGTTCAGCCACATTTCTGATGTAAGGAAGTGTTCGCCAGTTTTGGTTTGGCGTCTAATCGAAACAATCTAGTCCCTTGTCCTTCTTCTTTTGATTCCTGTTGTCTAAAGCATTGGCGTGCAAAATCTCTAGAGTAGCGATTTTGGGAAAATATGTTGAACACATAATTGGGTTCTATTTTGTATCCTTCGTTCTCCGAGAAGCATGTCTTTGCTCGATTTAATAGTGTTAACAACCTTCCTTTTTTGAGCGTTAGGGTGGTTACTCTTGTAATATAGGCCAAATTCCGCATAAGCTTTTTCGCGGTATACTGGTGTGGGAGTGTTCCATCAGTGTTTTGCTGTACGAGGACATCAAAAAATAAAAGTTTGTTTTCAAATTCCTTTCGAGTGTGAAGGTGATGCCCGGAAGTGATGAGTTGATAACGCTTTGCAGTTTTACTGCGTGCATCGCCGAACACGGTAACACGGCTCCGCTGGCCGGATAGATCACCGCCTTGATATCTCCGAGGCGAGACCCCAACTGCAACAGCGCAGGAGGCCACAAGGTAACTGAGTTCCCGACAAAGTGAACATTACTTTGAGGTCTTGACTTTGCTTGTTCTTGCTTGTTTGATTCTGCCTACTTGTTTGTGTTTGTCCTTGTGGTAAGCTAAATGCCGTTCCGTTTGATTGCCTCTGTCTACCTTTGCTGCTGCTTGTTCTTGCTTGCTAGCCCTGCTTGTTTCTGTTTACATTTGCTGTACGCTAACTGCCGTTCCTTCGAATGTGCTTGCTCACCGCTTATATATTTCAGCAACCAGTTCGCTTAGAGAAGGATATGAAAACTCTGTTCCCCGTCCCTCTACCCTTGTCCCGTCCCCCCTCCCTCCACCCCCCTTCAAGCTCACGGCAATGTTGTAGGCAGGCCCAGTTTAACTCGGGTCGTTCTTCCATTAGACATCGCGGACCATAGTGGACTTCGGCAGCCGCCTGGGAAAAATGAGCAGACCTATAAAGGGAGAGCACTGCTCACCACTACAAGTGCATCCGCGTGTGTGGGCGTCGATCTTGTGTGCTCAGCTCGCTAGGACATGAGATAAGTTTGTGAAAGCTTGTGTTGGCGTCAGCCTCCTGCCATCAACCAATCAACTAACGGGCTGGGGGTGTCTGCACTTGGTTGTCCGGCGTATGAATGCCACGGGCTGAACGCACACGCAAGCGAAGGTATGACAGTGTCATCATCCGACGTGACAGCCTGCCGGACGCGGAGAACTAAAGCATGAGGAGTGGTCCCACAAATTTGTTCTTCTATTGTTACCAGATATGCTTGCCGTAAGTTTGCAGTAATAGGCTGGGTTTTTTCTCTTCACTGCCCTAGATTCAATGCAAATAAGTCAACTTTTTCCGTCTGTAGATTTAACTGCCAGCCCCTTAGGTCAAAGTTATTAACTCTCGCTGGTTTACTGATTACCTAAGATGTGATTTGCCAGGAAAGTGATATGGCAACAAGTACACCAAAAGATGTTCTAAAGAAATGCAATGAACCTCACCGGATTCTCTAGAATTTGAAACCACGAAGAGTAAACAAAAGCGCCTCAACATTGTAGAGAAAATCGCCGCTAAATGGGAGACCTGGCGCCATTTAAATGCGGCTCTTAACGTTTTTCCTTATCCCTAGATTTACCGTTTCGACCGCCGTTTCCGACGATGTCCGCCGTGTGCTGCAGTAAAAGGTGGGAGCAGGGACAGTGACTTGCGCGTGAATTAGTTTAAAGTGGTGGTGGAATTTCACGACATCTACCGCACTCTTTCCTCCTCCCCCACCTGGATCCGGCGTCAAGACAGAGTCAAGAAGACCGGAGGCGGAGGACGCAGGTGGATGGCATGGTCGAGTCCGCACCTTGACGCTCCACTCCACGCCCCCCCCCCCTTGGTCCACACAGCAAATGACCATAATTTTAATCGACAACAAAAATGGGGGCGGCAGGGGTCACAATGTGCGCGACGTCAACCGGCAACTGGGTCTGCCATCGCACCCCCGAAATGTTGACAGTTGTTATGGTGCGCATTCTGATAACGCCTGCCAGAATCTGATATGACTCCCCGTTGGTCCAGAGCATCTACCACGTGGCCCGTCTGGGGGTCACGGATTTACCGTTTACTCGAGACAGCATTCACCAGGCGCCGTGCCGCTGTAGTGCACCTACTTGGGGCGCCTGTCACAACGCTGGGCCTCTCGTGAGTGTCTGCACACGGGCACCAGGGCTGTCTGGCGTTCTCTCACTAGGCTTTCGGACTGGCCAATCAGATTCAAGGCCGAGTTAGGCTTGCCCCGGCCTAAGACGTGCTCCCTGATTGACACAGGACGCCGTTCTCACGCCGGAGACACTTTCGTCTGGTTGTCAGCTTCTTCCAATCCTTTCTCCAGTTGGTCTGTACAGAATATGCAATCCTCCAAACCAGAATCCATTTTCTCTTTTCACTTGGGACCGGGCCTGGAGGTCATGGTAACCAGGGTCTCACTCTCGGCTTAGACCTCTACGATACCGCAGGTTCACCGCGTCAATGACGTGCGCCTTCCATTGCAGTCGACCAGAGGCAGACTCGCTGGTGAAAATGAGCCATTTAGCAAGCCAGCCGCTTTGATGGGCTACTGCAGGGCCATATATGCGCTCGGACCCAGCTTTCATGTCAGCCACCCACATCTTCAGTTGGCCATCTCGACGCCACTGCTAGCCAGGCCCGGAGTCGGGGAAGGGGTGACACTCCCGTCAAGTTCGCCTTGAGGATGACGCAGCGCAAGGCCGCATAATTTCAACCGGAAAGTAAACAGGTCACGGTCAGCAGGTTGATTTGTTGACTGACCATATAAGCATGCGTTGGACACGCAATCGGGGAGACTAATTCAGGGATTGAAATTCAAGCACAATCGGTTATGCGCAGGCATCCGAAGATCACTTTTACAATACTATTTGGCTGTATTGACGACGAGATTCTGAAGAGGAATGTCTTATTCAGTGATCCACCACTCACTGTGGTTGCAAGAATAAGTGTGAACAAAAATAAAACACCAACGCCGCATGGTGCGGTTAGGTTTCGCACCTACCTGAAAGCATCGAAAAATCATGTTTTATGGGGCTTTACTTATAACTGAGAGATTCGGTTGTAGTTATGTTCTGCACGACTCCCCTATTCGTGTTTATCCGCAGCAGTATACCTGGCGAAATCGATCCACCCTCTCCTGCAATCGCGAGAACAAAACGTTAAGGCGCAAACATCCTCTCAAAACCTTCACAGACTCTGGCATTTTGATTTATAGCTTAATGTCATCTTCACGGATGAGGTGACCTTAAACGCAGTACGGTAGCACCAAGTCCATGAATGTGCTCAAACGACTGCAGACGCCGTTACTTGAACTATTATAAAAGCACTGGAGATAGATCCCTTCCTATAGAGCCAAAAGACAGTTTCATTTAAGCCTACTGGGTGCTTGCTTTGAGCATTTCGCACACCTGAAGCGCACTGTTGCCTTGCTGCCTTGTGTTACCTACCATTTGGAGTCGACTTAAAGAAATCAGACTCAGTAAAAAATCCAACTACTGGTATACGCTCAGTGACCTTCTAAAGGGGATTGTGCAGGCAAGCTGTTTGCCAGGTAGAGCAGGCCGAGAGCAGAGGCGTCCGTGGACAGATTAATTTTAGCAAAATCTGAAAATGAGCTCACTTCTACATGACTTATCAGTGTGCATGCCGGTTTTTGCCTCGTGGAGGGTGTCATTTCAAACGGATTTTGAAAGTAATTTGACATGCTAAGGTTTGGACCTCGATTTGCAGTTATGAAATTGCAGGACCGCTCAGTCAGAACATCGGCTTTTAAGGCCTAATCAAAATAAATTTTGCTGTTCTCAAAAGCAGTGTGTCAGCTTTTGAAGCGAGTGCGTAACGGAAGGTTAAACGCTGGCTAGTCTGATTAACACAGCCACCTAGCATATGCAACTCAGAAAAGACTTCCCGAGGAAGTTTGTCGATATCATGGTGCCAAACCACGGTCTGGGTTTGAAGATGGTTGCACTAAAGGCAGTTGGGAGTTTAAGCCCAAAATTTTCATTTTAGACAAAGAACTTTCCTGAAGAAGAACAGTGTTTTGTCTTTCCAGTGCATAAACATTTCGTAGAGTGCGAACCAGATTTATCGCAATTTTTGTGTCCGGAATAAAAAAAATCACATTTTTACCTACAAAACCACCGATTTTTGCCGAAATTTATTCAGTTCTCAAGTGAAGAAACACTCAAGATTTCTGAATCCGATATTAATAAATACCGAAATTTCTGCAGGCCGCTAACTAGCAGTTAGTGAACCTGCCGTCTAATAATTGAAGATGCGCATGTCGATCGTCTGCCCACTGAACATGTACGCCGTGGATTTTCATCGTGCATTGGAGTCATTATATTTTTGGTGAAAAGATTTTGAAAAGCCACGTTGTCAATGTCTCGAGGTATACAGGGCAGAATTGCGTCAATCATCCACGGTGAGGAAGAACAAAGCTGCAGAAAGCGTGCGAGGCCGATGCTACCACCAATACCAATGGAGGCCTTTGAAGCTAGGTACTGGACGGCATCCCTCGTGTGCTCCACAGCAGACACTGGGCTACTGGAGCCTGTCCGCCCATGATTAAACGAGTCTGCAAGAAAACGAGAAAACTCCACGTTAGTACGAAGTCGGCCGTCACCATCGATATCGAGGACGTAGAAGGACATTGTTGCTCGTTCAGAGAAAGAACCACGAAGCATACAGGACAGGAGAAGGATAAAGTCGTAAGCGGTTATTCCACCGGAGGTCGTAGATGGCCGACCATAACGGAGCATTCTCGCGGCTCCCCAGAGACCTTCAAGCAAATCTAGACCAGACATGGACAGGTTGGAGGCAAGGAAGTCCTTCAGTTCGTCTCGTGTCATATCACGGATCTGATCGTTTGTTAAATGAAAGAAGAGGTGAAAAAGGACGCCGAGTTCGGAACAGTTGAAATGTATTCGTGGATCTTTGCGTGCTTCATCTACATATTGAAGGACGACCTTGCGAATAGTGCACGTCACCTTATATTGAGGATAGCGTTTCCTTTCCTCTTGGGTGTTAGTTTCGGCAAGAGCGCGTTCGACGAAACGCGTTGGCTTAAATGCTTTACGTTGAGCAAGCAATTCAGGGCCAACTGGCGTGAAGACAGATGGCACAATCAGCTTCCAGTTGTTTCCTCTGCATCTGATTGCGGAGACTGTGCTTCTTCGGTTTCGGGCAGCCATTGCCAAATGCCACGCTTCCATGGTCTTCTGTTACATGAGTTAAGGGTTCGAATCACATAAATATTGATCCATCTAGCCAGACACGCAAAGTGAATTTTTTTGCAAACAAAGTGTAACGCCTGCACTGATTAAAGGCAGGAGGAAGAGGGACTTGGAGGTTGAAACATGCCTCACTGTCGATCTGGAGGGCTTCCTAGTCCGGCTAGGAGACAGGAATTTTGATTTATCAATATTGTTCTGGAGAATTATGTCCAGAGCCCGTGCTTGTAAGGTGCCGGATTAAATGGGGAGACAAAACGGACGGGCATGGGAGTATGCATCCACCCCTCCCCTCCCCACCCCCCAGTACCAGTACGGTTGGGCAAGAGAAATATGGATATCCCCCTTATTACATCATGTATTGCCCCAAATTCCACGGGTTTAAGTTAGGGTTGGGACTAGGATGTAAGTGTTTTGGTTAGGATTTAAGTTAGGCCGCGGGTATAGAAACCCATAGAATGTAGCGCGAGGCCACCTTTAGTGCTGGGAGATCCATATTTCCGTGTCTGACCCCTGACCATAACTCTGATCCTAACCTTAGCATAAAAGTTCGAATGTCGTGACCGACGATGTTCGCCGTGTGCTCCACCCTACCACTAATCCTCCCCTGGAATTTGGGTCGAGGCAACCTGTA